AAGTGCCAGGGACACAATCCATTCATTTTCATTCAGTGAGGCATTGTGACTTTCTTAGGGCCATAAAACTCAGCCTAAAACATTGTGTCTGAAGCTTCCTATGGCAAAATATTCGCAGCCAATCCTCCTAGAAATATGTCAATGTTAAACAAAAAAAAGTTGCCTGAAGGCAAAATTCTTTGCATTGGTATTATGATGGCCATGCTTGAAAAATTTCGTGGGGATGTGCAGTCACTATGGGGGATCGGTGGATGAGTCCGTTAAAGCTCGGTGCTTGTGGAGCAAAAGCTACCACTGCAAAACCTAGGAATCCTGGGTTCAGTGATGGGTTTGCTGTGCCATTTGCACAAAGAGCTAACTTACCCTGCTACATCCTGCTACATTTAGCCCAAATGTGAGGAACTTGTGCCAACATTGTGCCAAAACTTGGTTTTACTTCATTAAATACTGAAAATATAATGGCTGAAATCCCGCTACACATCCGAATCATTATGGTAGTCTTGTGCGAATTTTCAGAACTTCCGATTTTAGTCGCAAATAACATTCTATTCTATTTGATCTCTCTATCAGTGTCAAACACTGACAGTACTCGGAATTTTCACAATAGCTCTTATGATCCTAATCTGCCCTGGTGTGTAAGTTAGCTTTTCTTGAGTGCGCTTCTAGTTATGGAAGTGCTGCGCCCTTTGTGCCAAATTGCGGCATGAGCAAACGTCTGCTGCAACTTGCACCAAAGCGCCATTTTTGCTAAATATTGCGTCACACCTGTGCCAAAGCAACCTTAGATAAAGCACAAAATAAAAAAATATATATATTTTTGGTTGATTTTATTATTTAGAGAAGTTGAAGGGAAATCAACATGATACAAATATTATTTCACAGCGTCTACCCTACCCGCCGTATAGTTTGTTTCATCTTAGGTAAGTGCATAGTCGAAGGCTCAAACACATCCTGTCAGAAAGCCATGAAAGTGCAAAAGTCTAGGGGTCATTCGCTACTCTCAGTTGGTTTAGCCGATGATAGAGCATGCACAGATAGACGGCGAATGCCACAATGTCGCGCCTTTGATGCTGCTTGAATTGTCTCATTGGTTGGTAGCATCGCCTGTGTTATGACTCAAGATGAAACGAAGTGTAGAGGTGGCTCATCAAACGTGCGGGCCCCGTCGTCGTCTGAATTTCGAAACAATGTCTTCGTTGTCAGGAGTCAAAAGTTGTGACAAAACATACACGTGCAAAAAATGGGATAGCGACTACTGTAACAAAACATAATCAAGGTCTTTTACTCATAATGGTAGCACCTCACTATCGTGTTTGCCACTTGCCTCCATGACGTGGCTACATTGTACCGTCGTGGCACTTCCCCCACTCGCGTCGACCTTCACGGTCTCACAACAGCGTGCACGTGTCGAGCTTCACCGCTTTGCACTGGAGTGCTAGGAGCAGCAGCTGACATGGGGGAGCGCATCAGTTAGCACCATTGGCTTGAAAATTCGGCTCAGTACTATCACAGATACACCATCTTGATCTCTAATTAAAAAAAAGAAGCTTTGTCATGAAAGGAAAAAAGAAAACAAGGGCCTATACTTGAATAAATACTTCAGTCAAGGTAGTTCACATGCAGCTGTCAATTGCAAGGGCAAGGAAACTTTGACTCGACTCTGGTTCGACCGCCACTAAAGCGCTGTGTAACTTTTAAAGCTCGAATGTAGGTTTTCATATTATTTGCTGGTTCTTGTTTCTGCAGTTTATGAAATTAGAATCTTGAGTTTGGTGTACATAAATCTTGTGAAGGTGGAAAATGGGGAGGTATTTTTATTGATAGATGTTTTAGCGCATAAGCTGATTTTCGCCGGGATTTTGCCGGAATTTTATTTACAGGCTAAATTAAGTACCGATTGTAAAAGAGGGAGGAAAGCCTACCTCAACTGAAGTGTTGCACTAAGCTTTATTTTTAGACACTTTTTTTTTTAATACTAATCTGAAATTGAACTTACTCTGACCTCAGTTTCATTTCTAAAGAAGGCTGTGTGTTCTTTGCGTCCTATTGGTTCTTACTACAAAATTTAATAACTATAATGCTTCGGCATCAAAAAGCAACTCTCAATCATTATCAGATATGAACTCGTTTAGCAATACAATCTCATTTTTATCTTCGAGTGACGGGCTAACAGACGCTGGCACCTGTTCCAAAATGGCGATTAGTGCACACCATTTATTTTTGTGTTGGCGTTCGTTTCATAAAATTCGTTCTATGAGGTATGTTTTCAATCCATATTATTTTACCTTTGCGGTAGAACCGGCCACAGTTTCCTTTTTGGATATCTGAAAGCCAAGTTTGCTTTCACGTTAGAATCGTGCAAACACTGCAAAGCAAATCTGCTGTGTCCACAACCCCTTTTACTATCACACAGCATGTCGTAGCCGCATATTTATCGCAATATAAAATGCAAATCTGCCATGTCTGCAATCCGCAGTATCAGTTCCCATTTTATGTGGTTTGTAGCCATACAATATCTTATCGCCTTTTTTTCTTTTTTTTAATATTTGCTGTTGCATCCCCAAAGATAGCCCGCCCCATGTTTTTCGTCATTTATCTCTTCATTTTGAGTGGGCGTCTTTACGGGATTGTACAGTAGTTCTGTGTTTAAGGAAATCAAACCTGCCGTTGCTCAGAAGTGTGAAGGCAAACCATGCACGTCTTTTAGTTGGATAGGCCAACACACAAATCGTTCACAGTGGCATGAATAAAAATTCAGTGTGTGCTTGTGCTCCAAAAGTACTTTTTGCTGATTCATAATTGACTTTTCTCTGCTCCAAAAAGGTGCTACAAAATGACGGGTCAATTTCATCACTGAAATGTGCTCTCACTTGTAGCATCTGCTTGGCTTGCACATATGCTGGAATAATTGTTCCTGTTGGGAAGTGGACTTTGTGAGGTCTCGAATTTTTTTCGATAATCCTGATTCTTTCTGCCGCCCTTTTATTTTTTATTCGTTTTTCCTATATATAAGTTCCTATATATAACAGTAGAAAACGAGCATTGTGCGACGAAACAGCCAGATGATCGTCGTCCCAAATACAAGCAGACATACTCTGTTTTAAAGGGGCCCTGCAATCACATTTAAGCGTCTGCCTTTTTTGCGGTTTTCACGTCTCTTGGGGTTCGGGCGAGCCAGCGGACACGGAGAGAGTAACTAAATATCAGTGAGTCATATTTTAACCGGACGACGCGGAAACCTCCTCCACCTACGAGGGCGACCCGCATTGCCGAAAGCGCGCAATATGTGTGACGTCTTTGGTCCTGGGCTTACAAAGCCGCTAAAAGCTTTTTTTTAGTTGAGATACAAAATATAAGTGTCTCAAACCGTTTCAATTATGTATGAAACTAGTTTCTGTTCAGTATTTTAGATCAGAAAAGAAACAAATGCAGTTTATAAAGTACGGAAACAAGAAAAGACCCGCGACAAACCCACCACCAAGCGGCGGAAAAAACGGCGCATACTAGAAAAGGGCTAGTGGGATGAGGCTCACACGAACGGCGAGCGTAGAAAGGTCCCGGATGTACGCGGTGGCGCTGCGGTCGTATACCGGCTCGACGATCCGACCAGTTCTGAGCGTTCCGAAGGCTTTCGGCGTGGTCTTGGCTGGTGATTTGGCAATTTGGCGGTATGGCAGCGCGAAGTGGCTCCCGTTCTGAACTGATCTTTACTCCGTGTTTGCTGTTGTTTGTGGCCAATGAAGAGTTATGCCGAATTAGTCTTTAATCGCGCAGCAAATGCAATATGAGCCGCCCTGGCCGCCCGCTTCATACAGCCTATCCAACACGTGCTTTAGTGGCACCCTCTCGAACCGTCGACACGGAGTGCGGCAGCCGTGAGCGCTCGATGAGCTCACTACTCCTCCTCTAGTTCACGGCCACTCAAGCCAAGACCTATGACGTCATGAAGGAGGTTATTTTTTGCTTGTTTTCCTAATTCTAATTTGCCTATAACTTTTAAAATAAAGTGAAATTTGAGAAAAGAAAAGTTTCTTTAAGTTACTACGTTCTGCGCTTAGGTTCAGTGCAAAGTAAAAACTAGTCAAAAAGTTGTTGCAGGGCCCCTTTAAGGGGAATGACCGACTTGCCCTCTAGTTCACAGCAAGTGATCCGTCGCCTTCTCCATTTCACAAAAATGAAAAATAAATTTTTTTCTTGGAGTTCAGAGGTTTCTTCATCTAAATTAATTTTTTTGTACATATCCCACACGTCTGTCTCCTTTGGCATGAAATAACCCAAGAGCAGTATGAACACTCTTGGAAGTACTAAAATTATTTGTAATTGTTACTTTTTTTCCCTCCTCTCTCTAATGGCACCCTTAGTTCGTAAATATTTTCTACCAAGGAACTCGACGGGAGGGTGATTTACCGAAATTGGTGAATTAGAAGATGAGTAGTTTATAATTTGCCGATTCCAATCCAATGATGAGCGGTGCAAAAGACCCATCCTTTTCAAACTGGCAGAAGAATCTGTCGGTCTGAAAATAATCAGAAAAGTAGTGGCTACTTCATCAATTAATGGCAAATTACATTTCTTCTAGAGTAATCAAGTAATCTAATTGAGTACCTTTTTACCGAGGGTAATTGTAATTTTAATCAATTACTTTTCTCAAGTAATGTGTACAAGACTGGTCGAATGTCGATCGCTACAGAGTGATACGCATTAAAGACCGCAGTCTAACCATGGTACTGTACTGGCTAAGCATCTCATCTAAAGCAGAGACATCAGATGTCCACGGTAGCTCAATAAGTAACTTCTTTCTGTCCAGTCAGACACACAACACAATTACTTTATTACATACCACATTTGTGTAAGTAATCTAAATGTTCTGTAGATCGCATTCACTAAGTGAAAGGAGCGTTTTTATACTTCCACACTTGCTTTGATGCAATACCGAATGTTGTAAATCTCGACATCTTGCGTTTCCATCGTCTCACGTTTTAATTTGCATCTCTTTTCAGGAGACGCAACTCTTACCTTTGAGGTCGAGCTTGTGAAGATTGATCGCAAGACCGAGCTGTAAAGAGGGGCTTTTTTCGATCTCGTCACGGGGTGGAGGGATTAGTCGTGCCTGGGGAGTCCTTCACACATCATTGAGGAATGAAGTGCATTTGGATGGGGTTATGATTTTCTGTTGGTTCTGTGAACTTGGGTTGTGATATGAAGTCGTCAAGTCACTTTCTTTCTTTTTTTTTATTATGGGGTTTCTTTGTGCGATTGGGGTGTGACTGTTGCTATATTGGTAATTTATTCTTTGCACACATGTACATTGGAGTAGCCGATCATGTAACATAGTCTGCGAGCACATCTTGCTGCCGTGCCGATGATGCTGCTCTGTACATATGCACATTTTTTACATTTGTGTAGAGTTGTGATACTTTCAAATAAATTTTGTCTGGTATATATTGTTTTCGTCTGATACTCTTGTAGTTTTATGGCAAAGACCAGCATCTTTTAGTTTGCCTTTTTGTTTTTGTCAGCCATTCCTTTATTCTATGTAGTGTCTTGGCATGTTGCATAGGTAGTTCGTTATGGCAAGGTGAAACCCAGGGTGAAGAATATATGTCAAGATGATTTAATTTGTGATTTAATGTAGACCAGTCTTACTATGGTGATTTAAATCAAACCTTTCTGGCAAAAATAATCCCAAAAATAGTTTATATTTACTTTGACTATCATTGAATACTTTCTATGTGCCTTTGTTTTGTACTCTTATTTTTTCAAATATTTCAGGCTGAAAGTGTGCAAAAAGCAATGCTCTTCTCAGCAAATTGGAGCACTGAGCTCGTTGCCTTACACTTTGCCAATTATATAACATCCTATTGCTAGCAAATCAGAACTCGAAAGAAAGAAAAAAGTTAAATTTTTTGTCAGCTAAAAAAAAGGGCTTGGAAGCTGCGTCAATAAAACTTGATTAAACTATTCTTTATATTTACAGTAATTCTTCCGCATTGTTATGTGAGATTCGACGGATTGATCAATCAATCTGCCACATCGAAAAATACTTGTAATTGAGTCTCTATTTTCTAGCTACACTGATTTAAATCAAATAATGCGACTTGCCTAATATTTAAAAAACATATTTTTTTACCTTGGTAAAGTGCTTGCACACTTGCAGCCTTTGATGTTTGTAACGGTACACACATTAAACTTTCTCGCATTTTGTACTTTCAACATCATGTTGCATCATGAGCATCATGCAGTTTCAGCAATGAAGAAGAGCACGGTCCGCAGAGACTCCGCTCAACTTGTCATCTTCAGCTGGCAGTAATCGAAAATATTGCGGGCAGACTCATTTTGCTTGGGGGATAGGTGGCTAAGTGCTCTAATACACTGGAGCTCAGAGCACGTAAAGTGACAGCTTGGGCGGCAAGACCCGGGGGTCCCAGGTTTAAGCCCCACGCCCTGTACGTTTTGATCTGGATGAGTATTGCACAAGCATGGGGGTGTGTATCTCTACTGCATGATACATGTTAGACCTTGGGCTATTTGTTGTACTGACCGTATGCTCTACCGGCTGGGTTTTTCATCTATAGCAGAGACACGAGGCGCCCATTGAGGGTGAATGACTTCCCCTATCTAAGCACACAAAACATGACATTCCCAGCCTTCATATGACATCAGTGACATCTGAGCCAAAAAGTGTTGCAGCAATGTCTTTCACTGCCCGTTGGACAAATGCTTCATTACCTGTTTTCTTATCCACCCATAACACGTTGAGTACTTTTCGGTTCTAAAAAAAAGCTGGCCGACCCCGCAGCTCCTGTTATGAAAAAGTAGTGTGATCCATTATGTCGTGATTTGTGCGAGTACTTCCTGGTCTCATTCATTGTCGTGGGAAAAAAACATCCTGTCTCCTCGAGTCTTGCTTTTGCCTTTCGTCTTGAAGTGGACTTGTTTTTATGTTTTCTTTTCAAGTCCAAGTTGAAAAGGCCATCATATACACATTTTGGGCAATGTCTTAGCTTCTGTCTTCATTTGTCTGAAAGGTAAGAGAAGACATCATGAACATTTCTTGAGGGGGGAAAATGCTTGTCAGTAAGAAAGAAAACAATACTCTCCTTGCTGCCAAGTGTTTTTCACTTATTTACTCGCAGAATGAACGCACTTTTTTTCCGAAAAATCGATGCAAAATTGGGGGGGGGGGGGGGGGGCGTTCATTACGCGAAGTAAAATTTTTGCGTCCGTATTTACTCGCATAATGAACGGACCTTTTATCCTGAAAAATCGAAGTAACTATCTCTGCTCGTGGCGCGCGACCCCCTAACCAAACTAAGCTGTGCAAAAAAAAAAAAAAAAAAAAACTTTCTTTTTCCCTTTGTTCCTTGAATTTATTTTATTTTATTTATTTTTTTTTTGCCGCCTTTTGCAAGTTGTTTTGTTTGTTTAGGCGTTGCTTAGGCGAGGGCTCTCCGCTTATCTTTCTTATCTCCTTGCGCGCGAAGCACGACCCCCGTAACCAAACTGCGCTGTTCGAAAAGAAAAAAAAAAAGCTCTTTTTTTTTTTGTTTTTCTTCCTCAGTTCCGTGTTTTTTTGTTTTTTTTTTGCCGCCTTTCGCAAGCTGTTTTGTTTGCTTAGAGGGTTTCTCCGCTCCTCTTTCTTACCTCCTTGCGCGCAGCGCGTGACACCCCGTAACCAAACTGCGCTGTGCAAAAAAAGAAAAAAAAAAAAAAGCTTTGTTTTTGTTTTTTCTTAGTTCCGTGTTTTTTTGTTGTTTTTTTTTCGCCTCCTTTCGCAAGCTGTTTCGTTCGCTTAGGGCGCTTCTCCGCTTCTCTTTCTTACGTCCTTGCGCGCGAACCCAAAATCCAGACTGCGCTGTGCAAAAAAAAAAAAAAAAAGTCCTCTTCATGTTTTTTTTTCTTGCTTCCGTTGGATCTTTGCGAATTTTTTTTAACGCATTTTGCAAGGCGTTTTGTTCGCTCACGCTGTCGCGACCTCGCTGCACCAGGATAGAAAAGTGCGTTCATTTCGCGCGCTTGGGGGGAGGGGGTCAAAATTATGACGTCCGAGTTGGGGGTGCTTTTATTGCGCGAGTGAAAAAAAAAGTCGAAATTTTGAGAGCCGACTTGGCGGGTGCGTTTATTACGCGAGCCCTTCTCCGGCCCTTCCAAACGCTCGGCTGCCCAGAAAAGGGGGTTTGGCACTCAGTTTGTCGAACGACTTTTTAGCGAACGAATTTTCGTCCGCGACTTTTCATCGAGCGACATGTCCGCTGCCGCAAAGTGGCGTGTATGGGTGGACCAGGTGGTCAACATGATTTCTGTAGTGAGCCGCCACAGACTGTTGTTGCAAAATGGCTTGAATGAAAAAGGGGCGGGGGGTTAACCCTAGCCCCAGTGATACGCCATTCACTAAAACGTTGATATGCCCAAATTACTGCTGTTCGCTAAGACGTCATTCACCCGTGTGATATGTACCCTTTTTTCAGTCTCCCTTGGCAAATGAAACGACCTGGTGAGAGCCCAGTGCGCCAGAAATCTCACAGACCATGTTTTGACTATGTGCTTAGGCTTAGGGGACGTCGGTTCACAGGGAAATTTGATCTTTTCTTTTATCTTTTGATCCAGGTAACATTATGTTCTCTTACTTTCGCGTTCTAACCCAACCACTATTGCGTCACATTCGAACAAAGTTTCAGCAACTTCCTGCAATGCATAATTCATTTACGCGGGCCAAAAAACTAGTCTTTTTTCTCTCACAAGCACTGTTAATATGCTGGAACCTTGAAACTATAGTACCTGACTTCTGTGGTCAAACGACAGACAGACCTCTGCCATGGCCGTGAAATAGCTGATGTCCAAGGACAGCGGCGGGAACTCGCTGGTCGGGGCCACGCCGTCCACGACAGTTCCCCAGTTGGGTACGGAAGTGCTGCAGCACAGAAGGCTGAGCACCCAGCCGCTGGCAAGGGTGATCACCAGGTCCCACAGGACACTCCCGCAGACCACCTGGTCGGCGAGCATCCAAAGGGCTCGCCAGACGGCCACCACAGAGTAGGTGGCGCACAGGTTCCACATGCCTTCCAGGAGCAGTCCCCAGAACTGGCCCGAGATCGGGACGGGAGTGAACATTAAGCCGCGTGGTCGCCCCACTGACACATCACACAAAGACAGTCTGCAGAAACTGTCTGTGTAGACACTGTCTCTGCTCCTTTCTTGCATGATGGTCACATTGGCCGTACAAAAGCTATCTGCAGACATGTTCGAAACATTCACATGTATGAAGCTTCGAACAGGCTTGAGGCATAACTACCAATAATTCTGTCGTCATGTCTGTAGCCAACACCTTTTTTTTTTTGTACGATATATGGATAAATGGGCAGTGTGACTGTGGCTTTAGGGCTGGGTGAAGAGCGATAAAGACCTGACTTGCTCGCTCGGAGGAATCTTTCTTACGTCGGCCTTGAGAGTCTCTCCCACCTATACACATTTCCAGCGCTTGTCTCCCTCACTGTTGCTCGCTCGGAGGAATCTTTCTGACACCGGCTTTGAGAGTCCCTCCCACCTTTCCAGCGCTTGTCTCCCCGACTGTTGCTCTCTGGGAGCAATCTTTCTTATGCCGGCCTTGAGAGTCCCTCCCACTTATTCACCTTTCCCAGCGCTTGTCTCCCCGACTGTTGCTCGCTGGGAGAAATCTTTTTTATGCCGGCCTTGAGAGTCCCTCCCACCTATACACCTTTCCAGCGCTGGTCTCCCAGACGTAAAATGCCAAGTCACCGAGTCGTGAACGAGTGTTCCGCGGCCCGGTAGACAAAGATAGCAGCTTGCAGGAGGCGAATATTGGAATGTGTCCATAGTCACAGGGAGCTTGAGAACGACAGGGAGGCCCTTCAGTTGTTCCACCTCCGGTGCTGGCTTCCCACCTTCGATAACGCTTACGCGTCTTGTGGCCCTCGAGTATGCACGCGCAGCCAAAGCGCCAGAGACGGCAACGGGCGCGTGTTGGAGACCGGTCATTTGAAAGAGACGCCCTGCCGTTCTCATTCTGCCGGTGACTGTGGTGTTTGAATACGAGGACATGGTAGTCCATGGTACTTCCGTAAACGCTCTCGGAACTTCGTCGGCGTGAGTTCTAGCCCGTGCTTGCATTCAAAAGTGTGATTTCGGAGATTGTGTCATCCTTTTGGTGTACTATCTGCACAGTATTCACCAACCTTCCACCGACTGAACGCCCATATAAGTTTCAGGACATCTTTTTACGCAAGGGAAGGGTACTTCCCCGGACTATGAGCTGCGTCACTCAGTCTCACCGCTTGCTACGCCTCCGATTCCCTACATACTCCGTTAGTATCTCTCTATCTCTCAGAGCTGAGAAACATGGCAGCTAAGCTTTGCGTTCGAACTCGTGCGTCTTTAAAGAGTGGCGTGGCGGGCTGTGCACGCTCATTTTCTCAGAGGAAAATATTGGCATTTGCAAGTTACAGCCTTGTTTATGCAAATGTCTTTCCCGGACATTTTCAGTGGCCTAAGGCTAACTTATTTTCTGACTTTGGGGTTTGCATTTACTTTTATGTGATGTTCGTATAACCTTAGAACGATTACGTCAAAATTAATCGTTTGATTACAGGTACCATATCTCTAGCTGTGAACTTTTTCTCTCGGTGACCAAGCCATTCTTGCCCTGGTACAAAATATTTCTTCTAAGGAAACGACACATTTGACTGCACCTGAAAGAGGATGAGGTTTGCATTGAGAACACATAGCTAATGGTAACATATACCGATCTAACGCCCAGTGAAACGATCCGCCATTGCGACTAGGTTTGAAAACCGGATGCCCCGGATCAAACGGGGATTAAAGCGGGAGAGCACCTGATTCAGACTGGTGATCACTGGATCCGAAGCTTTTCCCTCGGGGTGTCCGACTTGCGTCCTAAAAATGGTGCCTTGAACGCGTCTCAAGAAGGTAGGGCGAGGGAAAGGAAGGCTGGGGAGGAGGAAGCAGACAAAGCTGGAGAATAGAAAGGGAAACCTCTTCCTCTCGTTAGCGTTCCGTCTAATTCCCCTCCCTGGCTTTCCTTTCCCTCGCCATACCTTCTTGAGACACGTTCTATAGTGTTTTTAACGCGGTCGAAAAAAAAAAGGTCCTTGATTTTTTGTTGATGTCATAGTGTCATGTGGTTGCCTGCCGCGACCCTCCTTAGCAGTGGTACAGCAGCGAAGGCGGATGCGGCAGACCGGGACGCCTGTTCTCCTAAGGGTCGCTCTTCAACTTGACAGTCCACGGAAGCTTCGACACTCAGGAGTTGGGACACCGCGACGACAGCGACACTGGCCTTCGCTTGCCTTTTTCGCCAGCATTACCACCATCAACCACGAAAATTGTGGCATAGCGTGACACGCCAGCCCCAGTGACGTAATTTGTTGCCACTTCGGGACCGCCTTGGTGCGGGGTGGATGAGAGCGTGCGGCAACATCAGAGTGCCGAGCTCTGACAAGAAGGATGCTGGGTAGACGTATATAAAGAGTAGCTGCCTTTGTCTCTGGCCACTGTCTCCCTCCAATTAGAGCGAACTAGAGCATCATCTGTCTGGCGTTCAGCGTTCGGCTTTCGAACTCCAGACTTTGCGTTCGCGTTCGAACGCCAGACCCAGCGCAAGGAGCGAACGACGCTCCTGCTTCCTCTAGGTGAAGGGGACAGTGGGGAGAGAGACAAAGGCAGCTAGCCTGTGCGTGTACCTACTACCCTTTCAACCAGGGCTCGGCACGCTGACGTCACGTCGCGCCCTACTCTCCTCTGTTTTAGTTGTTGTTGTTTTTTTTTTTTTGTTTTTTTTTATTTATTATTACGGTAACCACAGTATTTGAAGGTAGATTTAACTGTAGTTTTAGCTTAGATGGTCGCAAAGATTCGCGCTATGACCACGAAACACAGAGTCGAGCTCGGAGTGCCCTTTGCATCGACCCTCACCTGAGTGTTTCCCGTCTTGTGAGCGTGGGCATGTATCTGCCGCACGGAACCTTCGGCGAGGAAGAGGCCGACGGTCGTGACGAAGCCCGACGAGAGAGATGTGGTTGCGGACGTCAGGGGACTGTCCGGGATCTGAAGCCGATCCAGGAGGGTCCACAGGCCTCTCCAGAGGGTGACCACGAGTGATCCGATGACCACGGTCGAGAAGCAGCAATCCATCAGGTACGTCCCCACGCCGTCTTCAGGCTAGAAGGCGTTGAACAGAACCGGGTAGCGTATTGAATTTCCTCGCGGAGTAAAACCTTGGGGCGAATCCAGCGCCCTGATTGATCTATTTGAACGTCCCGCTCTTTAGGAAGCAGCAGACGACCATGGCCGTTCGTGTGCTCGAATGTGGCGTTGACGCGACGTACTAACTAGTGCCAGTGTTGGGTGAAAGACATCTAAAAAGTACAAACTAAATGAGAGGTGATGTGCTTCAAGTAAAGTAGTAAGTACAATTGGTGCATCATTGCCCTTGAAATAAAGTAATACAAGTACATTGTACCCTAGACTAAAGTACAAGAACATTTAACAAACTATTTCATGGTGCGCTTGCGTTCGCCTTTACGGCGATTTATTAACAGGTATGCATTGCCCCATAGTACTCGAAGTTGCATTACTTACTTCGGAAATGGCGGTGAATATTGGATAAAGTCAAGTGACCACAAACATTTAGACGTTATCTTCTGTCGTCCTTTTCTTCAACTTGAAAGTTTCTTGATTTTTCCGCACCACAGTCTTAAGTGTTACATTATGTTTATTTGTCCTCTCCTAATATTTTACCTCCTCGCACTGACCGAGCGAGAAGGAGAGTTTGAAAAGTCACGGGAAAGCCACACCCAGAACAAACGGATCAATGTGTCGTCTGCTCGTGTTTCTGATGAGAGTAGAATATCCCTTCCAGTATTTCTTCAAAGTTGACAAAACATCATTTTACGATAAAAAGTTTTACGGGACCGAACATGGGAAATGTACCTTGAAGTCGGGAGTTGTACTTCCCTTAGAATGTACCAGGAAAAAAATACTTTGAATAAAGTACAAGTACACACCCAGAGAATGTACTTTATGTAACGTACAAAGGGTGGCGGTGACACAGCAGCTGGCAACAATAGAGAGTTTTCGTAGACCGCGTTTCCCCCTCCGTAAGCCCTCCGGAACGAAGAAGCCACTGCTGCGCCTGCGCGCCGATGGCCTTGACCGTTGAGTTCCGGGTATCGAAGCAGGTTGCGAAGAGCGCAGTGCGACGGCGAAAACGATCGATGTACGAAAACTCCGTATTATTTATTCTTTATTTATTTACATTGTACCTACATCGCCCTGTGGGCATTATTGTAGGGGGTTTAAGATAACGCTATGGCAAGTGGAAAAAGAAAACGTCATTATCATCAAAGACAATATCTTCCGGGAGGTCGTTCCACACTCTCGCGGTTTTGACAAAAAAAAAAATGAATTAGCAAAACTGTCAGTCGTATGAGTGGGTACAGCAACCTTTTTTTTAAAATGATCGCAACGGGAGGAGACGTAGGATGGCTCCATAAGATAGACGGCTTTATAAATTCCTGTTGTGAAAAACACAGTGGAAAAAGTTTAGTCTTAGTTTCCTTTTTTTTTTTTTTTTACATGCGAGTGTTTCTCATTCCAGCGTAGCTTTCATATCTGTAACTGTAGCATAAGGGTCGTAGTTGTTGGGTACAAAGTGCGCGGCCTGATTTTGAATTTTTTCTAGTTTATTTAAGGGTTCCACACAACGCACGCGTAAAAGGATATTTCGTGCCCAAGAGAAATAAACTGTTTCTTTAACGTTTCGTGACGCGGATCTAAAATTTCGGCATATAAAATAAATCATTTCAGTAGCCTTTTTCGAGTGTACGTTCTATAGGGTTGTTATATATTTTAGGGAATCTGCAAACGCACTCGAACACAGTACATAAAACGTAACCGATGATTAGGTAGCTTTGAAAATCGTGCAGCTTGCTTCTCGCGAAACGAATATGTTTGCATGACTTAGGTTTAGGCTTGTTTTCCATTGATTGCACCAAGAAGATAAAATGTTTATTTCTCTTTGTAATATGGGAAGGTCGTCTGACGTGTTTATTTCCCTGTATAATATGCAGTCATCGGCGAACAGTTTAATATAAGACTGTGTATTTTCGGTGATATCACTTATGTATATAAGAAAAAGTAAAGTCTCCGAAACACTCCCTTGCGGCTCACCTGACGTAACTCGAGTTGATGTAAATATAGCACCGTATGGGACAACACGCTGCTCTCAACCTTCTAAATTATTTCGTATCCAGTTCAGGACGTTTGGATCTAGGTTTAGCGAAGACAAAGCAAAGTCTAGGAACACGCAATCGATATATTTCCTGCTGTCTAGTGATCTGAATATCTGATGATAAAATTCTTCCAGCTGTGTGTTGCACGAGTAACCGCTTCGAAAACCATGCTGTGAAAGGGAAAAGAAGTGTATCGAATCCAGGAATCAGTAAAGGTTACGATAAATAATGTGCTCAAGCAACTTACACGAGATCTAGGGCGACAATTTTCAACACTGGCTTTTAAACCAGATTTAAAAACAGGGGCGACCTTTGCCATCTTCCAATCCATTGGAATCATCCCTGTCTTTAAAGATTCCCTGAATATATGAAAAAAGAAAAGATAACGCTCTATCCGTTATCTTTTCTTTGCCGTCGGGTCCAACGGCCCGGCCGGAGTTCGTCCAGTGGCTTTGATGGTATAGGGCCGGCCCTTTCTGATACTATGATTGTGCAAATTTGTGACAATTTCTGTTTACGTCACCTGCAAGTGAGCTGTCGCTTCTCTGAAGTTGTCCTAAAGGTTCTCAAGCTCGGACACCATGATTGCTTTATACTCAACGACGTTTCTTGGCATTGCACGGAAGAGGAGGAAAGCCCACACACAACTTTATTCAGCGCTCAAAATGGGAGAGGGAACGCGTGCCTGTACCCTCCACTGCATTGCCAAGAAAAGTTGTCGCCGGCTATAGTGAAGGACCCCCCCCCCCCCCCCCCCCCCCCACACCAGTTCGGATACCATGAGTGTTCTGCTAGCCGTGACACTTTCTTCTACTAAGCTGTGTCACGTCATCTGGAAGAGGGCTGCCGCTTCTTTGAAGTTACCCTGTAGCTTCTCAAGCTCGGACATTATAATTGTCTGAGTAGCAGAACGTTCCCTAGTTCGGATACCATGAGTGTCCTCCTAGTAGGAAGCTCGCTCCATAATGCAGTGGTATCATATCATCTGTAAGTAAGCTGCGATCATCTCTAAAGTTACCTTCCTGCGGAACCGGGTCTCAGCCTTGAAGCAGTCTGGCGCCTCGTCGATGACAAGCATCAGAGGCGGCGCCTGAGCAGCGTTACGAAGCCCCCTGCACAAAAGGAGTGCCCCTATTCCGACGAGGAGAGCTCCCAGCGCTGACCACGGGCTCTTGCCCGTGTACACGTCTTCAACGAGCCATGTACCCCGCCAGGCACTTATAGAGGCCGCGCCGTAGATGAACTGGTGCAGTCGGAACACCACCTAAACAGAAGATAAACACGTGCACGCGCATATGAGTGGTTTAAGGAAACTACAATACTGACACTAAGTCCTTCTGATCATCTTGCCGCTCCGCAGTCAATGCGGTTGCAGCATCAGCCAATAATAACGCCGAACAACGAATCACAGAGCAAGAAGCGTGGACATAATAAGTTATGGCCTGCGTTTTCTACTGCTCTCAGTGATTACAGAATGTTGGGTTTGGTTCCGGTTCCTTCCCCCTAGAGGGGCACGGAAGGGCGCCACGAGAGCGCACGACACGAGAGCGCCGACGGGAGAGCGCACGACAGCAGCGCGCTGCGACACGAGAGCGCGTGCCATTAGAGCGCGCATCACGAGAGCGCACTTGCGCGCCTTGGGAATGATCGATATTGGAGGGCTTTGTGCTTTGTGGATGTTATCTTCGGTTATCGCTGTTCAAAAATGGTGGACGTTGGAGGAACCAATGTATACGGTAAAATATGTTAGGCCATGGACTAAAAGTCTGTAATTACCCCTTGAACTTATTGCTGAATGGTTCATGTTGCAAGTGCAAGTACAGCTGTCTAGTAGCGTGGTTGGTAAAGGGTTCCGAAAGAAATTTCCCCAGAAAAAATGTTCCCGGAAAAAAGGGTCCAGGTGTAAAATAGGAACAAATATCACCGAAGGGTTCTCTATCGCTGGGTGTCCCCGATTAATGGCCTCTGGGGGGTTCGGTCGTTGCCCGGTTCAAATGGCCTGACCCACCTGGAGGTAGAAAGGAAGGCTAAATACCACTCTGAACGTGAAACCAGAGGTTGGGAGGCATGGTCAGTCACAGCCTCCCAACAGTACAGGCTATCGACGCCTTGCGCTCCGAGGTATCGACCGCGACCATGAGGATGTCATAGGACCGAGTCGGTGCTCCCCCCAAGAGGAGGTGCAAGTCGACACCCGTTGAAATGCAACGCCGTCTTGCAACGCCGCAACGCCGTGTGAAGTTAACCTTTATAGCACATCCAGCCAGAATGCGATTATTATGTTGTGTTCACTTCGAGTTTGCGAAAACTGTATTTTTTCCCACAGGTCCGAGTGCTCAACCAATAAAATGACGTAAATCGTTTGATCAGAAAAAAAACATGCGTTTGAAGACTCCAATTTCGATCATTCCTAAGGCGCGCACATGCGCTCTCGTGACGCGCGCTCTAATGGCACTCCTTCTGGTGTCGCGGCGTTCTCCCGTCGTGCGCTCTGGTGTCGCGGCGCTCTCGTGCCGTGCGCTCTCGTGTCGTGCAGCCGAGGAGCACCCCGATTTCTTATTACGTTAGCTGACTTCCATTGTTATCTTCATGGAAATGCTACTATAGGTATTGAAAAACGAAGGAACGCAGGGCCTAGCACGTCCCGAAAACCTTATTATCGCTACACGGTCTGTCGGACTGCATGCAACGTTGACCGATAAGAATGCCGATGAACGAATCACGAAGAAGCATGAATCTAACAGGCAGAGCAATGGCTCGTTCGGTCAAACCCAGGTGCTCTCTGGGTCCAGAACACGTCCCAGCGGGCTTTCAGAAATGGCAGGTTTACGATGTGTCAAGCGAGCGTGGGCATGCAGTTAACGTCTCTCAGTGCATTTTGTGGCGTAGCTTTGCTCTACGAGTAGCAGAAAATGAAGAGAGAGGAATTCTTTAAAGAAATATCGAAGAAATTTTTCCCCTCTCCTTACTGGCGCACATTGTTTAATTCTTGTAATCGTTGAAGCCAGTTTTTCGTTAGATTGTGCCAGTTACTTCGAAAATGATAGATTGTACTGAACGTATGCTGTCACGCAGACACTGAGGCTTGACGCATTTGTCGCCATACTACAGCGGACACGCCATTTTAACGCAGAATCTGGGCGGTAAAATATAATTATCTCTTTGATCAAGTAAATCCGGGTTACTTTATTTAAATCTGACTTATTTTATTTAAATCATACTTTATTTAAATCGGAACAAGTCTAAGTATATCTAGCCAGGAAAACGTTATTATTTATCACAAGATGCATTTTTAAACATTGACGATTGATTGATCAATCTGTCCGATCACTGAAAACAAGGCGGAAAAAATAATTATTCCAAATTTAAGCTTTGAAGTACTGTTTAATGAACAACTTTCTCTTAACGGAAGCCGCCATACAAAGTTCTTTACATTTCTAATTTAAAAAAAAAAAAAAAAAAACTTTTTTTTTGCGTTTTTATTCGCTGGCAATATGACCTTATTTCTCTTGTTTTCTCTTTCGTATTCTGATTTTGCTTGTACTATTAGAACATCACATAACTCACGAACCAAGCGGAAGGTAGAAAGAAAGCTGGTTGTGAATTACTTACAAGAGCGCCACTTTTTGTTCGTGTTTAGACCGCTGTAATTCTTTCATGTTCGGCGATTTATTTATGCAAATACGAAGCAAATGCACATAGCATCGAATGATAGAAAAACGGTAACAAAAGACATAATTTAAGAATCTTTTTTTTTTTTTTTTTGCGGAGGAGGTTTGATTAGCGTGATATCCTTATAGTGAACCGGGTGTGGTTTAAATCACGATAAACGTATATCATCTTGATTTTTATTCTCCAACCTGCGCAGAATACACTCCGCAGTTCCAGTACATGCTTATAATAGGAGCGGTAGAAATCTCGACTCACGGTGAGGTTCGGCCTAAAGCCACTAAAAAGTGTGGTGTCTGGCGTCCTAACCCGCCCATACGTCCAAAGGGGTCCCGAAGTGGCAACAAATGACGTCACTGAAGCTTGAGTGTCGCGCTGTCGGATGTCGCGATCCTGGCGGTTGGTGGTAGATACGCTGGCAAAAAGCGCAGGGAAAGCGAGTGTCGCTGTCGTCGTGGCGTCCCAACTCCTGTCTGCCGAAGCTTCAGTGGACTGCCAGACTGGAGAGCGATCTGCAGCGGAACAGGCGTCTGCCACACACACCACAGCTGTTGGGACGCCGCCAGGATCGCGACCGCCGGCGGCATGACACTCCTATGACGTTACCAGGCGGATAACGGGAGACCGCTTTTTTTGGATGCACTAAACAAACCAGTTGGAGACGAGTTCCTGGCATCATAGTATATACGCATTCTACTTCCCGATTGCGTTGAGGGCGCCTCGGCGATCGTTACACTTGAAAAAAGCTACTTCCCGAGCATTAGATGCGGTGTCGGGAAGCTCAGGCAACATCGTTTCGCACTGGCGGATTTTTTTTTATTTTTTTTTATTTTGCATTTGTAATAAATGGGAAAAAAAAAAAAAACGCTTTTTGCGATTCTACATTGAGCGTTAGATGACTTCAAGCGTCAAGAAGGCTGGAGTGTCGTCACTCCGAAGCTCGAGACCTGGAGAGTAGCTATAGAAATGCTCGAACCCAGTTTTGCCGTCGGGTGGCGCTAGTCATTTCGAGAATACTGGAATGCGTGCGCGTATGCAATCGTTCGTGCCTGGTGCACTCATTGCCCTTCCACAGCGGACACGCCGTGACACCAGTTTAGCGCAAACTACATCCCCTGCATTGTTTTGTTGTTCTTTTTTTTTTTTTCTTCTTTCTTTTAGCTTTGGAGTAGGAATTTTAAGAATCTTGACTCACTGCATCACGCGGCTCGTACATCATAAAACAAAATGCAACATGTTCGCTGCAAACGTGGTGACAGAATTGTAGCAAGGTGGTGAGTTGGGCGAGTCGGTATGCTTCTCCTGTCTGTTTTCTTCTACGGGATATTTGTCTCCTGCGCGCTTTTTATCACAATGTTCGATGACGCAATTATCTGCAAACACGGCCCAATCATGCTCGAATCATGTTTCATTTGTGCATACGTATGTCCCGCACTTGTCTGCAGTTAGTTATTTATGACTAATGTCACAGGAGCGTCACACAAGGAAGAAACACGGACTGTGTCTGCAGTCTGTCTTTTGTACGATGTGCAGGCGACCTCGCTTTAAAGGCCGGCGACCATACTCGAGATTCTGCAAGGCAGAAGATCCTCCTCGCCATGGGGGAGGAGGAAACAGGCAACGGTTGACAGCGTAGAAGGGGGGGAGGGGAGGAGGAACCGGGGAAAAAGTGGAAAGCGGGAATTGGTCGTCGGTCTTGAGCTTTAACTAACGGAGAAACGACGCACTCACTTTGACAGATTTGGGGTAGCGCCGAGCCAGCAGCGCGAAGGGTTCCTGGAGCGCCGTGAGGGCGAAGGCCACGGACCATCCGGCGCACGCGGTGGCCCATCCGCTCAGGGCCGGCTGATCCGGCAGGACCAGGTCGTCGAGGAGGTTCCACAGACCGCGCCAGTACGCCACAACCAGCGGTGCCACGACGAATAGGCACACGCAACGGTCCAGGAACGCGCGGAGCTCGACCATAGGGAGCCCGTTACGGACGGGCTCTTCGGAGCGTCCGGTACATGCGTGGACGCGGCTGCACGTTACCGCATTGCGAGAGCAGGGGACGGGCCGTTGGGCCTTGTCCGTGTCTCGGTCACATCCTCATTGTCCGCGCACGCTCGCGCGTCGATGATCATCTGGCCTGTCCGTTCGGTTGTTGCTTTGTTTTTGTTTTTCTTGCGCCCCTTCGACGAACGGGGTGCTCGTCGCTTTGGCTAGGTGGTGCGCGCGGCTGGGGGCGGGCGTGGCCGGTTACCTTGGTTCTTGGAGAGGGACGCTGCGCATGGAGAGAGGCAAGAGGAAGAAAGTTTCAGCGGCGGACGGCAATGACTTCGGCTTCCTTAAAAAACGGCAAAGCAGGAATATTTTTTTTTTTCAGTGGGCCATGGAATGGGGGTTTTCTCTCGCTTCCTCTTAGCAGGTAACGACATTACATAAGACAATTGGTTTGCATCTAGAACACTAGAACATCCCTGGAACGTCACTTAATTTCAGTTTGGTCGCGGTGGTTTGAGAGAGTGAACACCTTTTCGTGTAGGTCTTCTATTGTCGCTATTCAACTGCTCCTTTTATTTTAGCGTGACGTAAACTCTCGTTGAACACTGGGCAAGTGATATTTCCTTCTATTATTTAAACCCAAGATTGCGGTGATGTGCTGAAACGTTCCCCTTCGGTGTCTTTTCTCCAAATCCAGAGTCTCGGTTTGGGTTTTTGTTTTCCTCACCCAGCCTCTGGAGTTTAAATGATATGATGAACTACCCTCAGCTCGCCTGCGCACTTGCTCTCTTTTTGTTAAGATAATACTTAGCGAATTGTTAAAAATCGTCGGAGTTGTCTAAAACATGTCAACTTTTAACTTTAAAAAAGTACGTGAATTTTTTTGGCAGCATTTAGTCAATATAATTATAAATCGTGTATGGAACGTCGAGCTAAGACGCCCCGAAATGAAGATGTGATTAAGATAAATTCATACTACCCTAAATACGCGGCTGCACAAAACCGTGAATACTTAAATAATGAAGGAGACTGCCTAACAACAAATGCGTTGGAACCGGACATCCTTCCTAGCCGTGGTATCCCGATCACCGATCAGGTTGTATAGACTGACCAAGTGATTGCAGCTAACATATGGTTTTCGAATACTTCAGGTGTCTATCGAATGTGTATATAGACAGAATGCATAAAGTGCCCTTATATGCCGGATGTTTCAGCGAAGACTTTAAGAAATTTCTAAAAAAAGGGTGTTTGAGAAAAAAAATAATAGCTATTTTTAGGAACTAGCGGGCACGCGGGATGTCAGGGATTGAGGAAGACACTGTAATTATATATAACAATCCGATATTTACTAATTCCGTGTTTAAGTAGTGAAAATAAACACATGGTTTTATTTAAAAAATGAAAGCCGTTTACAACTCCCTGTAACGCCGAATTGGAGCGCAGCTTTTGAGGAGGAGGAGGGAAGAGTACTGAGGGGAGGGTATATTCCTCCTCCCTCGTGATCCCGCCTGCTACTCCTGAACGAAAGGGCTCCGGTTCGAAGCCGGCCGAGGGACAAAAGATAAGTCTTTTAAAATCATTTTTCGGAGTAATGAAAATTCGGATTCGTCCCCCCTGCTCATCCTCCCTGCTCCCCTCCTTTCTCCTCCTCCCCTCACGGGGGTCACTTGATCTCGGGGAGGGGGGGGGGGGGGGGGAACGTGACCCCCGTGAGGGGAGGAGGAGAAAGGAGGGGATCACGTGACCTGGGGTCACGCGACCTCGCGGTTACGGCGACACCGCTCAAGCCGGAAACGGGCACCTAAGAGCTGCGCTCTAAAACTTGCTGAGCGTCATCGAAAACCCCTGTATGAGTCACTTGCTTTCCCGAGCAGCTTTAAAGCTTTAAACGGGAGGGGGGGGGGGGGGGGGGGGCTTGAGCGCCCGAGCCCCCCGCCCTGTTGCCTGCGCCCATGAGGGCGCAGTCGGCGCGTCAACCCTGTGAACTAAGGAGTGCATAGTAAATGTACAACTAGTACAACTAACTAGCACCGCTGGAGGACGGGTGGGACAGGAAAAGTGGGTTTGATCCTACGTGACTTCGGCCCAAGGTCTCAACCCTGTCCCCCAGGGGGTTCGATGTTGGGGTAACTCCGGCAAGGTTTGGCCAAAGGAAACTATCAAAAAAAGAGCTGCGTGTTTGTTTGTTTTTCTTCGATTTTTTACGGTCATTTTGGCGACATCCCACACTGCCTGCCACACTGATAGTTGTAAAAATGCGGAGGGGGAGGAAATTGGCTTTGTCGGGCGGGACAGATGGGTCGTGTTTTGGTTTTCAGGGCATAGGGGAGCACGCTAGAACCTTTAATAAAAGGGCACCCGTTAACATTCACTCCCCATTTGTATGCTTATTCTATACTTTGCGAAGATATTTTTTTTATAAAAGTTCAAAATCAGTATATTTTTAGTGTATTACTACATTTAACCTGGGTTGAGCAATTCTACTTCAGAATTTATCAATTATTGTAAACGAAGGATCAGCGTCCTGGGGTAAGGGGAGGGCTACTATGCATAATATTTACCTCAACCTTGCGTGAAACGTCTCGCAGATACTCCTTCTTGTTGCAAGGGGACCTCGCGAGCCCCGCGGCGGACCTGAGGCCAGATTCTCAAAGCGAACTTACGACGAAAAAAATGCGTACGACAAATTTGAGAGAAAATCCGTATTCTCGAAACGAAATTGTCGTAACTTTTGCGCAGGTTACGACAAAATCCTACGACAGCTCCGAAGCTGTCTTACGCACTTTCTACGATCAAATTAACATGGCCGACAACGTCGCTCAGTTGCTCGGTCGCGACGACCCAACGGACATTTATTTTTCTGCCTGCTCTTCTTGCGCGTCCCGACTTCAAGCAGCAAGAAAAAAATGAAGAAGTACTTGAAACCGACCACGACGAACATGAACGCTGGATCCAGACACCCGGAAAAGGCAACAAAGGCGACGATCCCACCGACCAAGCGAGCTCGGCAGAATATATAGGCCTAGCAGGCACTCCGACGTGACCCGTTCCGGCGCAGCATTGCTCAGACGGTCCTTGGCCAAGACCGTCTGCCCACGACCGGCTGGCTTGCTGAATGGAATATGCCCGCGCGACCCTTGTGGACCCTCCCCGTATGAATAGTTTGATAGCTGAACTAAATTTCAGAGGTCAACCGATTCCCCTTATCATCTCGATCACCTTGTTTTCCGAGGCAGCGGTGACGAAAGCGGTCGTCGAAAAGGGACTCCTCGATTCTATCTCCTTGTTTTGTGTGATATAGAGCTCAAATAAACGCCGTATGGATTACCTTCGCAACACGGTATGTTCACTTTGTTATTAGTATGCCATTTTTAACTGTCGAGCTGTATCAGTTTGTGGGAGCTACGCGATGCCGGTCCAACCTTTCTTTGCCGAGTGTCACGTCAGTATCGAGTTGCAATCGTAGAAGATCGGTCCCGAAGCGCTTACCGAAACGCAGTCTGAATCCAGCACTTCGATCAAACGCACGCGTCCGCTCCGAGTGTGAACAGGTATTTGCGTGACTCTTGCTGACACTCTCGTAGTTCAAACGTATCTTTTTTAACGTCGGCTCACTCCTGCATTTCCGAGCACGCGAGAAACGCCGCGGCGGTTTGTTTCCTTCTACGTCGCTTTGCAAACGACTGGCACGGGGCTTTTACCAACGATGACAGTCGTGTTGACTTCGTAGCGATCGAGTTTGTAGCAGTCAACGAAGCGTTTAAATCCTGTTAGCGTCGATATACCACTGCACGGACACGAACCCCAGACAAGCGGTGGTGGAAAGGTCGCCCGCGTTTATGAGAATCAGCTTGAACACTACACATTTACACACAGACAGGACAGGACATACACGGAGCTGTCTATCAACGAGTGGTTAGCCTGTGTTTGTTATTAAAAATCCACGTGCTCCGAACTATGCCTAGCTCTCTAATTGGTTGTTCGTTTTGCCGAAGACGCCGTTGCCATAGCAACAGCACCGGAAGTCATCGTTTCTCCGTAAGAGGTCGTAACTTTCCTCCTCTCACTTAAGAACGCGTTTGTGAATACCGTTCTCGCCTCATCTTACGATGATCGTAACTTTACGAACTTCGTAGCTAAGTTGTCGTAGGTAAGAGGTTCTTTATGAATCTGGCCTCTGGTTTCCGTGAGCGATTCGTGTTCTCCGTGCAGGTAGGAACCACAGCTGCTCCCACTTTCGTTCGGCACGACTCCGGAGCAATGATTTCGTCGATCGAGTCGGCTCTATTAGCCATCTGCGCGCGTAAATGTCCTTGTGCCTTTATAAAGCTCCGACGTGGTAGGGACGGGGAGAAAAGCTCGATTCATTTCCGTCTGGCGCTCGGGCTGTTTCTTCCCCAGATGCTGTACGGGGTGGTTCACAAGAACGCCGGCTCAAAATCGGCCGAAAACCCCAGCAAATTATTCTTCTCACCGATATCTTAAGAAACGCAGGGGGCGTGGCGAGTCGCGGGCATCTCATTATAACTCCTCGGTCAATCAGATAGCGACATTGGCTGATAAGAACGTGAAACAACTAATCACGGAAATTGAACTTAAAAGGCCACGTGTCAGTAATTATGTTTGAAAGCATACGTTTCAACGTATATTAAATTTAAAAAAAAAAACAATCATAAAAAAATATATATAATCATAATCGTAATCATAATCATAATGTTTTCATTCTGTGCCCATAGACAACGGGTATAGGTCTGTAATGTGGCACGATAGAAAGTGATACATATATAAAACACGCTCAAATATAAGTGACGAATATGGACTTCATCAAAAATCGCCTTGTCCGCAATTCCAACTTCGTCTGCTGGGCTGCGGAACGCCTTCTGAGCATGCGCTGTTGACCTGTTGCGCGGTATATCGAACGCCGCGCAACTAAAGATGGCATAATTCGCTGTCATTATGCCATTGTAAAGGCATTGTCATTATACCGAAGTTCGGTATAATTCGTTATTAAACGAATTATGCCGAACTTGATTGTTTTTTCTCTAAATATGTTACATTGCATTACCGATACGTCATTAAGATTTTTTTTTTTTTTTCTTTTTGTGCGATGCGTATTTTTTACGGGAACGATTTGGTCAGCGTTCCGGGAAGCAGCCCCGTGACGACGCACGTTTGGCGCTGGCTCGAGTGGCTTTACATCCTGGTCGGAACCCGCATCGAAGACAAATGCGCAAGGAACGCACGGGCATACCGCTGGAACTCGGAGAACGCATAAGCGCCCCAGAGCTCTCCCTGTACTCGTATTACGCCGAGCCAACGCCACCCACTGATCTCTATGACAACTGCTGGATCGCGCTTCCTCGCTTCGAGTCCATTGCGCGATTAAGGCCACCGGTCGGGCCATCTTACGAGATCCGCTGAAGCGTTGTCAAGGCGGCGGTCACGTGACCTTTGCCTCTGTTTTCACGTGACCTACACATGGTAACCATGGTAACTGTCTAGGCTTCACAGCGCTAGAGCATATCTCGTAAGATGGCCGACGGTGGCCTCATTTGCGGTGCGGGGAAGCGAGATCCAGCAATTGTCAGAGATCAGTGACGCCACCCCTCAACAGGCGAGCGCAAACACGAACCCTCGTGTGACACCATATTACACCCAGTTTCTTCGAGGACGTCCCGGCCGGCTACCCCTCCACTATGCCTCTGGGACTGAACCAACAACATCCACACATCACGCAACCTCCTCCATTCCGCTCTCCCTGTCCACCGACGCCCTCGGAGCTGTAGAGAGAGTGGGCCAACCCTCCCAGGGAGCTTAAGTTCTGGCCCCTTCTCGCCCAACACATCAAAATCCTGCTCGGTGAAGAGCGGTAGACTATCGCAACGGATGCGGAAGTAAAAAAAAAGTAAACGGTTTCTTCTCTCTCCACAGGATCACGGCGTTTTTTGCGGCCGCACTCGAGGCTAATTCACATAGCACTGTTTTCTTACTTTCCGTATACAGTATATAAGTGACAGAAACATTCCTGTCTCGAATGTCGCGTACTAGGACATCTTAAACGTTATGTTAGGTTACAAAAGCTTTGAGTAAGCTGTACAGGTCACCGGGACATCTGAGCTTGATATTAAGCATGGTCTAACGGTTCAAGGAGATTATCTCCTTGAACTGTTAGCCACACTTAATAGGAATCAGAGATGTTCCAGTGATACGTAAGTTTTCCTAACGTAGCATAGCGTTAGAAAACGGCGCTGTGTAGACTAAAATGGGAACCAGCCCTTAGAGTAAAACGGGGAATAGTGCCTCCCGACTCTGGACACACGCGCGGCGAATGGCTCCCGCAGACGAAGACAGCCACGGCGCATGATCGGAATGCGTGTCACACAGCCAGGGGCCCTAAGCGGGGCACTTGGCGAAAACGTCGGCGAGGAATCTGGCGGCCGCGATTGGCCGACGCCACACTTGACCTTGGCGCCGGCCAATCGTAGCTGCCGGATTTCTCGCCGACTTTTTCGCCAAGTGTCCAGATTATAGGGCTCCAGTAGACGAAGATGGCAGCGCCCGGGAAGTGATCGACGGAATGGCGGGAGGGGACTCACGAGTGTCACGCGCGCGCCGGGTCAGCCGTCGACGTCTCTCGACGGCCTCTGGTCGCAGCGTTATCCGCACTCCAGAAAAGACAATGTCCGCGGAGGTGCAGGTGCCCTCGCCATCTGCCAGACAGCGCGAGATAAGCCGTTACGAAACGAGCAATCTCTATACCGCATATGATTTGACAAACGTATATCTATAGGTTGTCTTTCTTTTTTTTTTCACCTCGACGGCCGCGGGATGCACATATGTGCTTGGTCGACGACATGGACACGTTGAGAAACGGAGAAACACACCTCGCTTGCTCGTGGAGGGAGACTGCGCAGTGAAAGGAGGGAGACTGCGCAGTGAAAGCGTCGTGCCCGATGATGCTCGGGCACGATAGAAAACAACGCGCAATCTCTAGGGCGGCGCGTCACGTAGTGTTGCCGTGGAGATTTGTCACTTTCGCTCCCTTTGCTTCGATAGCGGTATTCCTGGAAGGTGTCTAATCGACTTTGCCTTTGTCGTTGCTGCCTCGACCTGCAACACTCCCTATCGCTTGAAGTCCGAGCGCTGCCGATGCTATGATCCGGTGCAGCCAATCAGGCGATAGCAAAAGTGCATCTTTGCGGCTCTCCTTGTCTATGTGAGTTTCCTATCTCCGGTGCAACCAATCACCCACAGAAAGTAAACGGCAGGATTGCAGCGCATTCACTACGCGTCATTGGTTTAATCAGTCACAACATAGGCACTGTGCGCCGGGTTGATGCAGCTCTGAAGCTGCTTGATTGTCTGCAAGGGAGAGTAGCTTAAAATGAATGAAACGGAGAACCGTATTCTGTCGAGTAATAGACGGACTGTCTACCAGCAAGGCACCTCCACTGCGCGTCTGTTTCACCGCAGAGCCACACAACCAGCCAATCATCGTGTTTTGCCTTAAAAGAGAAGAAAAAAAAAAATGAGCGAATTCGCGTGGTTGAAAATAGGATTTTCCGTAAAACTATGATCTGCGCAGAAAGCATTTTTCGCGTGAACGCGTATCTCTCTCCCGTAAGTCATTGGCTTATCTTCCTGTCGATCGCGGTGGTTGGTTATCCGCGTGCTCTGCGACAAAGCGAACTCGCATGTTTTTTTTTTGTTTTTTTTTTTTTTTTATAAACGGCGCACTTATTGCTCGAGTAATGAAGGTATATAATTAATTGTCTTTTTTATATCGCTGCCTCGATGTGCTACATTCCGCTTCATTCCAAGCGCAACCAACCCTATGAGCCAATGGGTTCAATCAAGCTACCCCAAAACCGCAACGCGCGTGTTAATTGTTTTGTGTTTCTATGCCTGAGTTGGCTGATCCGCTCAAGGGCGAAGTACAGGGTGCGGCCGGATTAACACATTTGGTACACCTTGCAAAAGTACAATTGCAAGCGTATACATACCTAAAATTGGGCACGCGAACGTGGTTTCCCAAAAGGTTTACTGTCTGTTTCTTTTCTTAAAGCTCAACTCGGAAATAGCGAAATTTGAAGGATGAAGGCCCTGTATTTACTATGCCTGTTTGTCGTCTGCAGACTGGTTTATGAGCTCGCTCCCTGGTGGCTTGCTGAACGATAAATCCCGAAAAACCAAGAGCAGAGGCTGGTGATGAGCAAGATAATCGCAATAACTAATACTTTGAAAACAATGACCACCTGCGAGCAAGCTCACAAAACATCTGTGAAGACAAACATCCGGTATAGGGCATGAGAAATGTATGACCGCCGTTTTTGCTTTCTTTTGCATATTTTACAACCTCTACCTTGAGCTCAAAAAAAAGAAAGATACACAAATTTTTTTGCGAAACTACGTTCGCGTGCCCAATTTCAGGCGTTTACTTTTGGAATTCGAATTTTGCGAGGCGTGTTAAATGTGTTAGTCTTCACGGCCGCACCGTGTGTGGGCCTCGTGATGTTGCATCTTTATCTCGGGCGTTCGTGTTTGTGGTGCCAGTGGCTTCCTTCACCGGCCGGAGCTCAGATAATCCAGACTATATACTTACTGCCTGTACGGGTGTGCGAATAGTGGTTCCAATCGAATAGCCCAGCATCCTTCGTAACCTTCATAGCGAAAGAGAAAGCCACGACAAGCGTAAGAGCTTGCATTTTTAACAGTAACCGTTTCAGAGCACCACGGCTGTGTCAGCATCTTGCTATTTTTGTAACGTCACGATGTCCTCTGTCATTCTGTGCTTGCTCGTCCCTCGGCTCATCCAGTTAAGCGCAGAGAGTGCGCCGTGACCTTGCGCTTTTAGTTTGTGTGCGAACATTTCTGTCCTCTATAGACCGTTCCATTAGGGTCATAGCAGAGAGGGTAAAACAAAAAAATGCACTCCCCCTCTCACCCCGCATGTCGTCCGCTCCGCCGAGAGGGCTGTAGCTAGCGTCCGGCTGGCGCGCAAACTCTGTTTAAAATCGCGTCATTTTGGAACTTTCAAGCGCAGATACGCAGATTTTGGCATGCCAGTTATCGTGTAATACTATGCTAGATAAAAAGACTCACAGGGTTTAATTGCGCTGTTACCAGCGTGCAAATAAAAAAACAAAAATTGGGAAAACTGTGTCAGATTGGCCGGTCTCTTTGGCAAAAAGTAAATTCGGTTGCTGTACCTTTTTTTACTATACAAAAGTTCGTACTGGTGTAGGCCTTTAGCGACCATGAGTGGAAGTCTGAAATAATAAATAAAACGTGCTCTCCTGCCGCAATACAAGCAGTAGTGGAGGGAAGTACAGCCGGCTGACTCAACTGCTATGTAAGTAACGGAAAAAAGATATGCTAGTTGATCATTTAGCAAAATAGAACAACAGAGAGCTATAGGCTGATATTGGAGTAGCCACAACTATTCTAAGAACGCGAACCACTTCACAACGGCAGCCACGAGCGAGAGTTCGATGTTCGATAGAGCCCGCCGATACAGCCCAAAGATGGAGAACGGCAACCTCCCGGTTTTTGTCTGCTAGCGAAGTCGGGCGCGTGCCCTCTCTCTCGTTTTACCCCGCCGAACCCGCTGAACTTCCCGGATGTGTGGAGAGGGCGCTGCGGTCGAACAAAATGGTGCCGCCCAGGGAGCGCTAAATTGAATGGTCTATACTTTGCTTCGGCTTAAGTTCAGACGCTGCCGACGCTGCGAAGTGATATGACTAATCAAGCACTGTCAACCTTACCAGAAAAGACAAAGTGCCTCGAGGCAGTATGTCTTTTCTGGTTATCATTGGCTCAGAAATAATAGGACATGTAAAGAAACATGACGAACACCTTGATGATCTCGTCAGCTCGTAGCGTCGGCTGCGTCTGGACTTAAAGGGCCCATGAAACGATTTTTGGGTTGGGATAAATCATTTTAGATTGGGATTTTACTAATAGCACATCGTTCAGTGGACCAAAAGAAAAAAGCTAGAAAGTCAAAAGCCTGACTTTCAGTGCGAAAATATGAAAACAGAGCGGACTATTTCGTACCTCCTCCCCTTCGCAACCTCTCTGCCTTCTCACTGTGATACATCCGCGGTCCCAAAAGCGCGTTATCGGGTCCAAACTGACGTCACACGCAACCGGACCTCACTTATTCCCTTCACCCCTAAGCTGACATTGTGGTGGAAGCTACGCGCTTGCCGGACCAATCAGCCGCCTCCCTTTCATCACCTGACTTCATTCTCTGCAGCCACATTTGCCACGCTCACTTGGCAAGTGTGGCTGGCCCAACGAGCACGTAGCTGCAACAGCACTGTCAGCTTCGGAATGAACGGGGTGGGGAAAGCAACTTTTGTCTGAATTTTGAGCGACGGGCTAATCTTCTAGGGGGAGAATGGATGTGTCCGGGATTACACAAACGAGAGTGCGAGCAAGAGGGGACTCCCCCTTTTCGTCTTCTTAAACTGTTTGGTGGAATGCGCGATTTATGAGTTGAGGAGGAAAGCGAAACAGGAAAAAGTTGGAAAAGCGTTTCATGACCCCTTTAAGGTGAAACGAGGGCGTTTGTGGCACCCCGTCTTTTCCACGCAGCCTTCGTCATCTTGATTGACAAACCTTCCAGTATAGGCGAAAACATCGTTTTGTTCTTGCCACAGCATTGAGAAGTGTTAACGTTTTAAGCGTGTCAGCTGCCACTATTCTTCTGGTTTGACCGTCATCATATATTTTTGCTTTATTTAGGGGAAAATATTTTATTTCTAAATCACCTGGCTGGGGACAAGTGTAAATGAAAACGGTTCTTTACTTTCTGAACTACAGTCTGCATAGCCAGCCGGTCTGCAATGGAAAATGCCGACTCAACAAAACATTTTTTTTAAAGATAGCTTTTATGTCATGCAAAGTCCGCACCTAGTACGCATTTTGACGTAAGAATTGTTTTACATATGACTCCTTGCAAAGCAAATTCCTGCTCTATGAGGGCAAGCTTGTATCGTGCTGACACAATTACCTAAAATTACCTATCATTCACAAAATAAGTCACGTCTCGCCATAATGAACCATCCTGAAAAACCTTAATCCTTGTATAGTCCGTATCTGTGCATAGTCCGCGCAGCGTACGCAACTTTTAAACGCATATAGTCAGCGGATATTTACGGAGAGCAAGTCGTCTGCATCTTGCGCAGGAGTGGCGGTTACGTCTGAACGACGCCGAGCTCTGACTGGCTTTGATTGACAAGATAGTGGGCAGACCTCAATGCTAGACGCTTTGAGGTCTACCCACTATCTTGTCAATCATCCAATTAAAGCTTGGAGTTATCAATGTAGCGCTTGTGCAAGAAGCAGACGAACTTGCGCTCCTCAAAGTCGCGTAAATACGGTACATGATCACTGCCAGCTTGAGCGTCCAGTTGTTTTCAGACTGATTAGCGGTACGTTGCGCACACATGTGGGGAACGCTACAACGATACAAGGTGCGGCCGTTAGAACTAACAGATTTGGCGCGGCCTGCAAAATTCGAATTCCAAACGTAAAATACTCGAAATTGGGCATGCGAATGTACTTTTGTCAGAAGTGTTAGGTCTACTTTTTTATAGCCCACTTCTGAGGTAGTGAAATGTTAAAAATAAACCAAAATCGGCGACCGTGTATTTCCTGTCCTATACAATCCTGTTGGTAGTCTGCTCACTGATTTTTGAGCGCGCTCTTCGGTGGCTTGCTGGACGCAAAAACACTAATATCCAATAGTAGAGGCTGACGATGAGCAAGTTAATCGAGATAATTCATAAATTTAACGAACTATTTGAACAATGAACACCTGGAAACAAGCTCACAAACAAGTGCGCTGACGACGAACATCCAGTATAGAACACAGGAAATGCACGGGCGCAGTTTTCGCCTTATTTTTATCATTTTACCACCTCTGACTGAAGCTCT